ATTAGGATTCAATATCTTTCAATCCATTCCACTAATCCATTAGGTTAGGTTTATGCGTTTTGAGCTAAACCGTCCCTAGTATGTCACCGTCCCATACCGGTACATACCATCCTCCATATCCATGTAAATTACAACATACATAACAGTTCAATAATTTACAGACCAAAAACTACCATCCAAACAATTGCAGAAAAATATTTAAAGCTTCAGCAATTTAAATCCAAGCATTTAACCATATAGTTGCAAGAGACGATTTAACAAATCAACAACTAACATCCAGAGCATGCGTAGACCGAAGTTAATATGTCAGGGACTCCATCATGCATGTGAATAGGTTAAATATTCCTATTATTAACCAATTAATTGCTAAAACAATTCAGAAGATTGTTTAAATATTTCAGCAGTTTAAATCCAAGCATTAACCATATAGTTACAGTAAACAATTTAATAATTCAGCAACTAGCCTCCTAAGCATGCATAGATTAAAATTAATAATCAAATGACCTTATCATGCACTTGAATGCATTCTAAAACAAGTTTTATAAACACATTATGTTTCATCAAATTGCTGAATTTTAATTCAACAATTAATTCAACTTCCATTTGTTAAGTGCCTTAATTTTTACACTGTTTGTCCCGACAACTTAGAATTAAACTTTACTCAATTTAGGGTCTTAATAACACTCAAAATTCATTCCTTGATCCCTCTGTAAAGTTCCAAATTCATTCAAACAGTCTCCATGCTCCAACAGTGAACATAGTATGTAGAAAGTTAAAAAAAAAAACCGTAAAATAAATCAAAATAACAAGGGAGCCTGCTCCAGAATTTGGAGCAGGCTCTTTTCCAGCCTAGAGCCGGCTCTAGGACTCCCTAGAGCCCGCTCCACTTTGTTGTGGGAGCCGGCTCCCACTTCCATGGAGCCGGCTCTCACCTCCTTTGAGAGCCTTTGTCCCCGGTGCGTGTTTCAGCTCTTGTGCTCCTTCTCCGACTTATTCCTAACCCTCTGTTAGTTTTTAAAACCAAACTTAGGTGTCATATTAATCCCCAGTAGCATCCCAATGGCTTGATAACAACAATTAAAAACAATTACAGAGACTAAATTTGCTACCGAACTAACCTGCGTTAGGAACAAAACTGAAATTATAATTCTATTCCAACCTCTCTGTTTCTCTTCACAAACTGATCTTAGGAGTCTTATAACATCCCATTAACATCCCTAGGGTTTGTTTACAGAAGATAGAGGCAAGAATCATAACCAAAACTCAACAGATTTTTAATATGCTTTAATGAACAGAACAGGAAGCACAATACACGAACTATAAACAGATTTGGATTCAATGCAAACAAATCATCAACAAGCATACATTGAACACATAAGTTTCATTTACTAATTAGTTAATCCCTAGAGACTATCTAGGTGCACAGAACACGAGCCAAAGGGAAGGAGAAAGAGAAGAACTTGCCTGTGATTTCAATCTTGAAATCCCTGTGTCGTCTCTAAGTTTTCCGGCAATTCTGAACGCCGCCAAGCTTCCTATAACTCAGTCTCTAATCCTTACTCAACCTCCTTGGTCCTCTCTGTACACTTCCTCTTAAGCCTCACTCTGTTTTCCCCACAACTGCTCTCTGTGTCCCTCTCTGTATCTTGGGTACGTGAATAGGGTTTTGTTTTTCCAACCCTTGATACAGAGTAACCATATATATATATAGGCGTAAAAACATAAACCCTAATCCGTGTTTAATCAGAGACAGAGCCCTAATTCTAAACCTAGTCGGCCCATGAAACTACTTTTGTTACGGCTTACTTAAACGTGAAATTTCCAACCCCAAAGTTAACTGTAACTTAAAGCAGAATTAAATGGAAAAAAAAATTACATAATTAAATCCACTTAACTAATTAATTTCAATTAAAAACCCAATTAAATAATTAAAAACACTTAATTCAATTTAAAACACATGACACATAGGTAAACAATTACATCAAAATAATAAATAAAAATAATTAATCCAAATCCAAATAATCATGCAAAAATACAATAAAAATAATAAATAATCCAAATAATCATGCAAAAATACAATAAAAATAATAAATAAATGGCGAGACTATCCTTTTAAAATTAGGGGTATTACAATACAGACGTAACTTTATGTTTTCTAAAACCCTAAACCCCAGTATGTACATGTATACATAGGCTTCAATTTACTCAACCCTATTCCAAGTCTGACTATAAGTCGGCCAACGATAAATCCTAAAACCCTAAATTTAGATAAATAAAATAATTACCCCGTGAAAAATTAAACATTTAAATTAAACCAATTAAGTTAAATAAATTAAATTAAGTCAACTAATCAATTCAAACAACACCAAAACCAATTAGAATAATAATTAAATAAAATCACAATTAATTCAAACATTCCAGCAAGTAAAAAATCAATTAAATAAAATAAAATGCAATTAAACAAATAAATAAATACCAATTAAATACATGTCACATAGGTAAACAATTAAATAAAATAATTAAACCAAATAATCACGCAAAAATACAATAAAAATAACAAATAAATGCCGAGACTGTCCTTTTTAAAATTAGGAGTATTACATCAAGCCCACAAGGAACCCTTGGTAGGTTTTGTTGGGAAATGAGCTGAACCCATTGGAGTTGTTGAGCTACTAGTATGTGCTCTACGAAGAAACTTGAAGGAAAACTTTTTCATAGTAGATGTTCATCCTTCCTACAACCTCCTGATGGGGAGGGGGTGGATCCACCGTGTACAAAGCTTCTGATCCACCTTGCACCAGGCCATGAGATGCTTAAGCCTAGATGAGAGTGAAGTAATTGACATTCACGAAGACCAAGCAGCAGCAAATGAATGTTATGTGGTAACACTTAGGGCCAGTGGGAAGGGCAAGGCAATCGCCCATCCTACAAGCTCAAAAAAAATCTAAACCTAAAAAACTTGCCTGAAACTTCAGATTTGTGTTAATAGATTATCATGTATTTCAATTCTTGGAAATTCCTTAAGTGTAATGATAACTTTGGTCAAATAAAGACTTGCAGTTTTTGCTAATGTATTTTTTGGCAGATCCCACATGATTAAACTAAATTCAAGAAGCATGTTCGTGCAATACTTAAGTGCATTGAAGTTTTACTTTGTTTAAGTGTAAATTTTACATTCTTAAGTGCAAGTCTTACATTATTTAGCAAATGTTTTACATTACTACAGTTACCATTTTACTTTGCTTAAGTACAAGTTTTACAATATTTAGTAAAGCAAGTTTTACAATATTTAGTAAAGATTTTACATTATTCAGTAAATGTATTACATTGTGGTTCTTAAGGGTATTTTAGTCTATATGTATTTATGAACACTTAAAAGTAATTTATTTGTAATTATTTTTGCCTAAACTATTTTTGAGTATTTACATTATAGTAATTAAGACTTCCTAGAGGTTTTTTTTTAATTAAATTAATCGTTGATGTATTAATAATTACTTTTGCCCAAGTTATTTTTTCATGGGATACTTTTTTGATTGTTTACATTTTGGTAATTATGGTTCCCTAAATTGTTTTAAATTAGATAGGCTAGGGTTTGTTTGTGAGGAATAAAACCCATTTTGATTTATTTTGATAGATGGCTTGAATTCTTATATACAGGGACTAGTAAAATTAAGGTGCCAAGTACGTGATGAGAAATGATTGTTAATTGAAAAAAAAAATTATTATAGTATAACATTTTCTGCATTATAATAAAAAGTTAATAAAAAAAATATCATACATCTAACATCATAACCATACAAGCATTCTTCTCGTGATATATTATTTTTTCTCCTCATGATACATTATTTTTTGTCCACTGAATTTTGCGATAATAATTTTATTTAGGTTGGTTCAATTTTTAACCTAGTGATTTAGTTAATTTAGTTAATGAGAGATTTATTGAATGACAAGCATTCTTCTCGTGATATATTAGTTTTTCTCCTCGTGATACATTATTTTTTGTCCACTGAATTTTGCGATAATAATGTTATTTAGGTTGGTTCAATTTTTAACCTAGTGATTCAGTTAATGAGAGATGTATTAAATGACACTCATTGATAAAAATATGGTACAGGAAAAAAAAGAAAAAAAGAAAAAAGAAAAAAGAAAAAGGAGATTAGCAATTACGCATATGAAATTAGTAAATAGGCAAATGAAATCACATCAATGTATCAGTTGATTAGAACAAAACAAAGACAAACCATTCAAGAAATGATTTCATAATTCCTCCCGTTTCTATCATTTTTTCAATAGCCAAATTAATAATTGAAAAAAAAAATTTGAAAATAAATACTCAACTCCCTTAGTCGAATACAATTAATTACTATCAAGTTCAAACCTCAAAATTCATAACAAATTTAGAAAATAGTGTCAAAATTAGATTGAAAGAAAAGTCAAATCACAAAAACCATTACATACATTAGAAAGCTAGTAGATGAGAGTAAAAATAAAAATAATTAGAGAATAGATAAAGCCAGTATTGTGATTTATTATTTATAAATACCAATTAGCTCTCAATTTCAGTGTTTAGTGTCTAGCAAAAATGAAGAATTTAATAAAGATGCTTCTAATTAATTACATGGGGCTATTACAAACTGTTCTTCTTTTAGATGTTCTTTATTGAACCTAATAAATTAACTAAAGTAGCTGAAGTAATGTAAATTTTTTGGTGAGTGTTAGGCACTCAAGAAGTTGAAATATTCATTACATATACACACAAGCATATGTATTAGACCGGGAGTGATGGTTCCTCCAATTCAATTTTGAATGTGCTGCATCAAATTACTCTAAAGTAATTCGTTATTTGGTTCGTAATCCTTTGTTATTTGGTTCGTAATCGTTTTCAAATGAGTGATAGTGTTAAACATCTGATTACACCTGATTCATAATGCCTTTTCAAGTGACTTATACTATTAAACACCTAATTCATAATGCTTTTTCGAATATCTCCAAACCGGAGATGAAAGAGTGAAAAATATAGAATTCTACTACATAATGCTCGAATCAAATTATAGTTGTACAATGACACTCAGACATAGGCCTGTGTGAACTACTGGAAAAAATTCAGTGGCAGGTCCAGCCCAATAACAGCGAAACATTGCCCATTAAAAAATAATAATAATAACAACAAACATATGAAATTACATTTCCACACGAGTCACACGTTTGTACATGTGAGATGGCAGCCTCGGAGTGGGGACCACTTGTATTGGGGTGCTCATATAGGTGACCATTCCTGGACTCGCACCCATATTTATCTCCTCTGGCTTTAGCCCATTTGGTGGAGCCCAAGAAAAATGGTGCAGAAGGTGGCCCAACATGGAAGTGACCAAATTGATGCCTAATTGTGCTCCAGGGCAAACTCTCCTTCCAGCACCAAATGGTAGCAAACGAAAATCACTTCCCTTCATGTCAACATCCTCCTCAAAGAACCTTTCGGGTCGGAACTCTAATGGGTTTTTCCATACTGTTGGATCACGGGCTACGGCCCAAACATTAACAAGTACAATGGAGCCCTTAGGGATGTCATAGCCTCCAACCTTGACATTGGCATTGGCGCGGTGAGGGAGCATAAGCGGCGTTGGTGGGTGCAACCGTAGCGACTCCTTGACCACACTTCGTAGGTAGGGAAGGCTTGGGAAATCAGATTCGGTTAGCACGCGTTCGAATCCGATCACTCGATCCAGCTCCTCTTGGGCCTTTTGTAGGACCCTAGGGTTCTTTATCAGCTCCGCCATGGTCCATTCCACAGATATTGCTGTTGTGTCCGTTCCTGCAACGATCATGTCCTGGTCCATACAATAAAATTAACTTTAGTGTTTAGTAATAACAATAGTAATGCTAATAAGAGTAATGATACTAAATTCTAGAGTCTGACTCATCTGTGAGTAATAACGATCACCCACTTAAATAAAACAGTTCGACACATCTAACTTTAGAATTGCTTATCATTATTCTACTAATAAACAAACAAAATTAAGTATTAGACATCATTGGAATATTAGTCCAGATAGTATGATCTCTTTTGCCTCAAATAGGAATGTTTTGAGTCTTCTCAAAAACATGCCAAGAAAGAAAGAAAGACTATGAAAATGGCCTATGACATACCCAAAGGAGGCCAATAATAGTGTCCTCACTAAGATCATATTTGTCCTGAAGGGTAAGCAATGCATCAACAAAATGTTGTTTGGCTCCGCCGGTCTTCTGGCGGGTGAGGGTGTGCTCTTCCATGATTGCTCGAGTGATGCGGTCCCTTTGTGTCCCGTGCTTGAGAAAGGCCTCGTTTTCTAGGGGGAACATCCACCGGAGCCACGGGATGTGCTCTGCGATGGAAAGGGAAGCACCGAGCTTCGTTCCGTTTTCAACATTGGCCTTGAAGTCCAGCCCTTGCTCGTCCATCACCCCATCATCGTTCAGGAACCGCTTTCCGAATGCAAGCCTCGTAATGTTGTTGACAGACACTGCTGCTAGGTATTTCTTCACTAGCAAGCTCTTCCCCATCTTATCTGCATAATTTCACATCATGGACATAAAAAAGTTTCCTTTGAGTTGGTCATCTCTCCATGACATTATCCATATAATCATGCAGTATAAATCTATACATATCAAACATGCTTTTGTAAACAATTCTACTGTCTTGCTTTATATTAATATGGAGTAAGTGGGATTATTCAATATTTACTCCCCTCATAAAAACTGTTTACCTTTACCTATTTTTAACTGTTTTGAAATAATTCTCTCAATTCAAAATATGTGAACGGAAAGGGTATATTTGAAAAATTAATTCCATATCACTATAATAATAATATATATATATATATAACTTTCCAAAAATAGACATGGGACAGGGAGTATTTTTTAAGTCTGGCAGTTAAAATTTAAATTCATGGTCTTGCAAATTAGTACTTCATGACTGTATAAGGATATAATTGTAAATTCACAAATATACACACACTTTTAATCATTTACAGCCACATTTATTCCATCGTGGTCACGGGGTGCAGTTGGATCCAATTTTTTTCTTTTTTAACTGTAGCTAATTTTAGCACAACCAATATATATATACATATATATATATAGTATTAGCCCAGCTTACTAATAGTCTTAGTTGTGATAACGATTACGGTCGTGTAATGGATTCAAACCAATATCAGTATAAATTGGTCAAATTCGTCAATTCATACTGTTTAATGGTATCCATCACTTGAAAAATTACGAACCGGTGATAGGTCGCGTACCGGGCTCCAAACCATGATCTTGGTTTACAAACCAAATACGAAATACAACTATATATATATATATATATATCAAATATTTTCAGTTATACATACGCATATATGATAAAAATGATATGAAGAAGGAAAGGAAAACACAAACCAGGACTAGTGCAATCTTTGTGTATGGACTCCACCATAGCAGTGACCTCATCTTCTCTGATGGGTCTGAGAGCTTCGAGCCTCTTCAGAGAGAAAAGCTCAAGAGTACAAACTTTTCTAACTTTCACATAGTGAGGCCCATAGTCGGCCCATATCAGGTCCTTCCCGTCTCTGCTCATCCGAGCTGCGGACCGACTCCGGTGTCTGTCTGCCAACTGTTGGTCATTATGTTTGAGAACTTCTTCAGCTAACTTCGAGTTGGAGACGATAACATAATGCCGAGACCCGAACCACACCGACATGATGGGACCGTAGGATTGAGACCACTCGGCGAAACACTGGAATCTCACCGGTTTGATGTCGTAGAGGTTCCCTACGATTGGCCATGGACGTGGGCCAGGTGGAAGCTTGAACCTAAGTGTTTGGTATAGCTTGTATGAGAGAATTGGGATGAAGATGAACGTGAGAAGAAGAAGAGAGAAGTCCATGAAGAACAGAGACGTACAGAGGCTGAGTGCTGTTTTGTGGTACGGGGAGAGGTGAGGAAGATGGAAGATATAGGGAGAGAGTGGGTAGGTACGGGGCATTTTAGTCCGACGGCTAGACTTTAAAATTATTATACGATCCACATTGCTACACTTGTTCCTGTTCAATTCACTCGTTAGAAAAAGTTGACTAAGAGTATAATAAGACATAATAAAAAAGTATATTATATAGAAAGAGCTTTGAATCTTTTTGTACCGTCTCGACGAGTCAAAATATATGATATTTGGAAAAAATGGAGTTAACTGATATGTTGACGTGAATACGAAAATTATTCTTCATTTGGTAAAATAATTTTTACTATTTTTAGGTGTCATTTGTTTCCATGCTTCCTATGTTGATGGGCCCTTAATGCTTCCCATATTTCCGTGCTTCCTATGTTGATGGACTCTTGATGCTTTTGGTGTGCTCTAGCCTCTACTGCTGCACTATCTAGTCTTTAGTCTTATTCTTTATTCTGCTTATTGTGTTAATAATGGATCAGTTGACCCAGTTCAAACTCGAATGAAAAGGTAATTGGGTATAAATGAGTGAGTATATAACATTATTTAATAGGTTGAGCTTTAAGATAAAAAGGTAAGCGCTCACTCGTTACAGTTAGTATCAGAGTCAGACTCAATCCTTGATCCAGTGTCACGCCAAGCGTCCGACCCAAAAGGCGTCCGAGTGAGCAAGTCCAAACAGGTAGAGTGGCCCAAGCCACAACGAGGACATTGCAAGTTTGAGTAGAAAAAAATGTAACAAAAGTCATTTGTCTCAAATCGAATCCAAATAAAAAAATAATTAAGTATAAATGGATGAATATGAACTTTTAATTAATAACTTAAATTTTTAAATAAATAAATAAGTTTTCATCCATTACAATAATTTCATGTAAAATATATATAAATGGAGGTTACTAGTTATTATTATTATTATTATTATTATTATTATTACTACTATTACTACGTTTCCTTCTTCTTGTTATTATCATTATTATTATTATTATTATAAATCAATGAAGAATGGTTTTGTGGGTCCAAAGGTAAATAATACCTGTCTAGTCTATGACCAAAATCTGGCCTATTAATTCATCTGATTTCATGCATACAAGCCTGCAGAGGGTGAATCCCAATTCGGAAAGAAAGCTGCTTCCTCTTGTAAAGGATCCAACCACGATTGAGTTTTGTTTGGTTGTAGGGATGAAACAAATGAATAGTAGGGAGAGGGGGATGGGTGAATGTGTCTTTACCTTTTGTTTGATTGAATAAAATAAATAGTAAAAATAATAAATATGGTAATATTATTTTTTATTTGGTTAAAAAGAAGGGAGGAATGGATAGTATCAATACATTCTCCTTAAAGTAGTATGATTTAACAAACAAACTTTTGAGAAGTGTGTTTTTTTAAATAAAAAAAAAAAAACTCACACATTCATTTGCTCATTTAAAAATTCAAATTTTAACTATTTATTCTGAGAGGTAAAAAATGTACTAGTGAGTTTGAGAAGGTTAAAAATGTAAATTACTTATTTGTGAATTATAATTCTTCTTTCCCTCTCACCATCCCCAAATTTGGACAAACAGAAAAATGCAAAATGAAATATTCCGTGTGATGTTTTGTTTCCACCTTTCTCTTCCTTTCTTTCAACCAGAAACATCGAGGGGGTAGGTAGCACAACCAACTTGTGGTGGAAATTAATTTCGTGTTTCCACGGGACTGCTCATCCGTCCTTTTCGTCCTTCATTCTGACAAAGTTAAGTCATGAATAATGTGGGCGAGATAACCCAAATTTAGGTACGAATATAGATGACATCCATATCAGGTTCAACCTTTTTATTTGGTTAATAACATTTTGTCACCCCTGTTTTTGAGTAAATAATAAATACGGAGTTGAGTCCCAAACCACAACCAAAGTTACGTTTTTTTTTTTTTTTTTTCAATGTGTGTTGAATATTATTTCAAGACATGTTTCATCACATATATTTGTTGCAAAATATAGATGGCATCCATAGCAGGTTCAACCTGTTTTTTTGGGTAAGTAACATATTGTCACCCCTGTTTTGAGTAAATAATACTTAAGGAGTTGAGTCCCAAACCACAACCAAAGTTACGTGGTTTTTTTTTTTTTTTTTTTTTTTTTTCAATGTGTTGAATATTATTTCAAGACATGTTTCATAATATATATTTATTGTAAAATTTTTGAAAATAAAAATATGAAAATATATTTGGTAAAAAAATATTATAAGTTTGAAATTTAAACATTTAGTTAAAAAAGTCATTTTGGATTTTTTTTTTTTTAAACATATTTTGCTACCGTGCGAAAGTACCAATTTAGTGCTTTCAGTTTTAACCTCTTTTTTGAAAACGCTTCAATAGTATTCAAATTACCAAACACCTTTCGTACTTTTGTTTCGCTACAGTACATTGTTTAAAGCAAAAAAAGGATTACTAATTGTAGTTGCAGATGTGATTGGTTGAAAAAATAAGTATAATTAATACACTCTCCTACTTTTACGAAGCATTAAAATTTTAATTTTATAAAACAATATTATCCTCTTTTGTTTATTAACTATTATTCTTTCTCCTCCTTCAATAATGTGTTTATATATATAACATATATATGTATATAGTTGATATTCTATCACTGCATTATTTCTTTCCTCTTTCTTTTTTTTTTTTTTTTTTTGAATTGTCTTTAAACGGATTCATTCTTTCCTCATTTTTTTTTTTTTTTCAATGCATACTTTTTTCTTAATTATTTTTTTTATTATATCAAAATCAATCATTTATCTTTGTTATAATCTATAATTATCTATCACTCATCAAACCATTTTATTATATGTAAGTGTGATTCCTATTACCACTATACTTCTCTATTTCTCTTTATTAAATCATTCATTTCTATAATTTAAAAATAACAAAAAGTCAATTATACAATTTTACTTCAACTAAAATTCAATAAGTGTGATTATCCCATCACCACTATACTTTTGTCTCCCTTACTCTCTTTACTAAACCATTCACTTCTATCTTTTACAAATAAACTAAGACTAAATTATACAATTTTACGTCAAAGAAAATTTAATTTACTTCAATTAAAATTTACAGTTATGAAAATTCACATCTAAAGTATAAATAAATAATATTTAATATATGCAGAATTCATCATCAATAAAAAAGACTACTGAAAAAACGAAAAAGGAAAGAATGAATCCGCCTGTTTAAAGACAATTCAAACGTAGAAAAAAAAGAAGAAAAAGATTTAGCTATATACAGTATATGTTTTATATTTAGACACGGAAGAAAAGAGACAATATTAGTCAATAAATCAAATAGGGTAATATTGTATTATAAAATAAGATTTTAATGGTCCATAAAAGTAGAAACACTGTATTAATTACCAATCACATATGCCACTGTTGAAGGACAATCGTGTACCGCGATTGCAATTAATAGTCCTCAAGCACAAAATACCAAATAAAAGCGGTTGCCAAATAGATCCTAACAAATAATGCTACAGTACACTATATGAAGTACGTGATACAGTTCAATGTGAGGTCCAGCCCAATACAATGAAGATTTGGCCCATTATGTATCCATGTAAAATTACAAAACAAATAATACAAAAAAATAAATAATTAATTAATTTTATTAATTTAGAAAAAATGACTCTTTTTAAATTAACTACATTATGACTATTTTACATTAATTATTTAATACAATACACATAAAAAAAACATACACAATAAACCTTAAATAAATAATATATAATAATTATTATACACACCATCATACAATATCATTTTTGCATATTATATTATTATTAGCTCACAAAGCCAACATTGTCAGGCACCACTCAAGTCGCCATATGTGTAGTGTCTAAGTGTTAGCCCCTTGACGGTTGTCCAAAGGAAGACATGGGCATTTCAAGGCCATGCCATGTCTTGGGTATACATTGGCTTTGGTTAGACAGCCATGAGGATGCTCGGTGGGTTGTCAGCGTGCACAAGATGCTCAGCATGCACACAGGATGCTTAAAAGGATGCTCGGCGTGCACTGGGGGTGCCCAGTGTCATTTTCATAAATATGGCGAAAAGTGAAACTTGGAGTTTTGACTCGGAATCTTTATGGGAGGTACCTTGAGTCCATAGAAGCTGGTTGGCGTAGACGGCACTTGATTTGGATGTTGGGAAGGGTCTGAAAGGCCTTTATGACTCCTTAAGCATGGGTGATGTTTACTCCTGTCAAAGTGCTGATTTTCCTTAAGACTATACTAGGGGGGTCTGTTGAGTACATCAGTTGGGCTATAGCATGGCTTGCTTAGAGGGCTTAGCCAACGTGTATGGGCACGTGTTGCACCACTCCAAGATGGTTGCACAAGAGGGGAGCATCTAAACTAATGATGGGCAAACAAGTGTGCACCCGCGTGCATGGGCGTGTAGCCGTGGGCACACGAGGGTTCGAGTATGGCGCACATGGATGGGCACCAGTGTATGCACCGACTTGCAGCAGCGCGCTTATGAGCATGCATGGCTTGGCATCAACATACGCACCGACGTGCACTCAGATTTGCACTCGGGCGTGCATGGCATGGCACCCCGTGCACTCAGAGACATGTGGGTGTAGAATGGTAGACTTGGCAAAGACTAGGTTCACAAGGTTGGCTCAAATGTTGCTAAAGTATGGACCACACAAGTCATGGCTTGCGGTTACAAGAGATGGTTAAATGGGCTTAGTGGGCTCAGTTGGTTGGGGGAAGTTACTAGCACTTCCCCACTCATTATGGGAAGTGGGGGTGTGCTGATTAACTTCCCATGCAGGTGGCACAAATCTGAGATGACAACAAGCAAGCGGTTGGAGGTGGTTTCCTCCACTATGCAGAGTGCAACTTCTTGTGGGATATGTGGCATGAGCAGAGCATGCCCACTACATAGCAGTTAGGCTTGTCAACTGCATTGTAGTGCTAGCATACTTAGAGGATGCCAGCATGACCCTAGATGGATGGGGGTGTCATCCATCATCTTAGTGGGCAGTTATGGGCAGTTTTGAGAGTGGCCTATATAATGCTAAGGTGGGCTTTGTAGAGGGGATAGATATGAGGGTGTGAGCCTTGGTTCCTTGTACGAACTCATGTTCCTTTGTAATATGTTTAATATGAGTAAAGGTTGGGGCTTGTCCCTATAAACTGTGTGTGCCTTCTTTACATTTCTATATTGTGTTGTGTGTTGGCTAAGACTTGGTGGCCCCAAGTGCCATTACAGAGGCAAAAATTTGTGGTGTGATTTAGCCCTATAACACTAAGTATACCATATGTAATGGGGCTCGCAAGTGTGTAATCCGCACAACAGACACATTGCTTCAACATAGAGAGGCGGAGGTGGGGCTTAGGTGGGCTTAAGTCTCCCAAATTTTTTTTTTTTTTAGTATAGGTATATTTAGCCCAATGTCTTAAAAAAGAAAAAATTAGTAGTAATATTACTCCCCAATTTTAACTCATCCAAACAAGCTCAATATTTAAGTCATAATTTTAAAACAAAGGTCCAACCAAATAGACGTAAGCCAAACAAGTCCTAAACAATTACTAAGCCAAAGCACAGAGAACTCTTAAATTCCTAATCTTGCACAAATTAGAAAGCTCGCTCCTTCTCTCCTTCTAAAGTCTAACCCTATTTCTCTAAAATTTTCTAACTCATTAATCTTTCGATCCCCAAGTCTCCCTTATTTAATATTAGCTCTACATTAACAATTCTTGGATTCGCCCTTGCAGTTGTAAATATTATACAAAGTTGGCTTGCGCTGGGCATGCTCTAACCCTGTTTTTGATCAATTTAGGAACTCAATATATCAAGGACGGATTCAGAAATTGGGAGCTAATATTTTTTTGGTTAAGTTAATATTAGTAATAATTTTTTTTAAATTTTTTATTTTAAATTGGGCTAAAATTGAGTATAGCAAATTTATATATATATTTTTGGGTGGGCTCCTGGATCCGCCAGTATATTCATTGCACACACACTGTGTATTAGGACTGATGATATCCTCCAATTCAATTTTGAATGTGGGCCATCTAACTATTATTCCAAAGCAGGCAAGGAGTTGAGTCCCAAACCACAACCAAAGTTACACCTTTTTTTTTTTTTTTTTTAAGTGTTGAATATTACTATTTCAAGACATGTTTGATAACATATATTTGTTGTAAAATTTTTGAAAACAAAAATATGAAAATATTATTGGTAAAAAAATATTACAAGTTTGAAATTTAAACATCTAGTTAAAAAGGTCATTATGGATTTTTTTTTTGGAACAGTATTTTGCTACCTTGTGGAAGTACCAATTTAGTGCTTTCAGTTTTAACCTCTTTTTTGGAAGCGTTTCGGTACTATTCAAATCACATTACACATTACCAAATAACTGCTTAAAGCAAAAAAATATGAAATAGAAGCAATTGCCAAACAGATCCTAACAAATAATTCTACAGTACACTGAGCGAAGTACTTGATACATTTCAATGTGAGGTCCAACCCAATACAATGAAGCTTTGGCCCATTATGTATCCATGTAAAATTACAAACAAATAATAAAAAAAAGCCCAACACGAAGTTACATATCCACAGCCACACGTTTGTACAAGTGAGATGGCAACCTTGGAGTGGGGACTGCTTGTACTGGGCTCCTCATATAGGTGACCAAACCTGGATTCTCTCCCATATCAATATCTTCGGGCTTTAGCCCATTTGGTGGAGCCCAAGAAAAATGGTGCAAAAGGTGCCCCAACATGGATGTGACCAAATTGATGCCTAATTGAGCTCCAGGGCAAACCCTCCTCCCAGCACCAAATGGTAGTAAACGAAAATCATGCCCCTTCATGTCAACATCCTCCTCAAAAAACCTTTCGGGCCGGAACTCTGATGGGTTTTTCCACACTGCAGGGTCATGGGCTACAGCCCAAACATTAACGTGGACGTTGGACCCCTTAGGGATGTCATAGCCACCGACCTTGACATTGGCATTGGCGCGGTGAGGGAGCATAAGCGGTGTTGGTGGGTGCAATCGGAGTGCCTCCTTGGCCACACTTTGTAGGTATGGAAGGTTTGAGAAGTCGGATTCGGTAATCACGCGTTCGAATCCGATCACTCGGTCCATCTCCTCTTGGGCCTTTTGTTGGACTCTAGGGTTCTTAATTAGCTCTGCCATGGCCCATTCCACAGATATTGCAGTTGTGTCCATTCCCGCCGTTATCATGTCCTGTATACATACAATTAAATTAACTTCAATATCTAGTAATAACAATACTAATACTAAGAAACAACCAAAAGCATTAATCACCATTGGAACCCAATGGTATGACCTAGGGCTGGCCCTGTCGTCTAGGGCCTCAAATTTGGGCCAAAAAGTAGGACTAGGTCAAGGGTCTATCAAATTTAGGACATTCGTCTAAGGCCTCACAAAATGTTAGGCCTCTCAGGACCGGCCATAGTATAACCTCCCCATCTTCAAAGAGGAGAGGTGGGGTTTGAGCCCGGGTGTACATAGATAAAAACTGTAGAGGTGTAAATGTGTTTCGTGCCATATATTAAATAAATAAAATAAAATAAAATAAAATAAAATAAACATTAGGGACAATTGACTCGGATTGTATGATCTCTCCTTTTCAAAAGAGGAGGAGATTTGAGTATTGGAGGGGAGGAGCAATGTATGATGTGTGTACTTGCTTTAACTTTCGAAGGATCTAAAAAAAGAAAAAGGTACCACTATGAAAATGGTGTATGACATACCCAAAGTAGGCCAATAATAGTGTCCTCACTAAGATCATATTTGTCCTGAAGGGTAAGCAATGCATCAACAAAATGTTGCTTGGCTCCACCGGACTTCTGGCGGGCGAGGGTGTGCTCTTCCATGATTGCGCGAGTAAGGCGGTCCCTACGTGCGCCATGCTTGGCAAAGGCCTCTTCTTCTAGGGGGAACATCCACCGGAGCCACGGGATGTGCTCTGCCATGGCAAGGGAGGCACCGAGCTTCAATCCGTTAGCCACAACGGCCTTGAACTCGAGCCCTTGCTCGTCCATGACCCCCTCATCGTTCACGAACCGTTTTCCGAAAGCAAGCCTTGTTATGTTGTTGAAAGCCACTGTTCCAAGGTATTTCTTCACTAGCAAGCTCTTCCCCAGGTTATCTGCATAATTTCATCATTCAGTTGGTGTTTCATGCATAATAGCCTCAGGTCCATCGTGGGCCTTTCGCTCAAAAGAATTGACAAGTAAGTTATTTGGATTAGTAGAAAAGCCCATATCACTAGAAGCCCAAACCAAAACAGAAAAATCTAATGATAAAAAGTCTTCTTATGGACAACTTTGATGAGGTCCATTTAACAATGCCCAAAAAAAAAAAAAAAACAAAAATAAATGGAGAGAGAAACTGTCTTTTTTTTTTTTTTTTTTTTTTTTTGGGGTTAAATAGTTTAATTTTTTAAAAAAGGATAATAATTATCTTATCCTTATGTTGGCCACACCTATCTGATCGGGGACTGTGATTTTAACATGTGCAAGCATTAAATAGAATGAGGAATTAATTACCCAAAAAAAACAAAAACAAAAACATGAGAAATAATAATAAGTGGTCTAATAGTCTATTTATTTTATGTAAGTGAGGACATGATACATATCCAACTCTCGACCTCATAAATGACTATTGATATCTAGAACCATGTGAATGATCTCTCATAACGGGCCATATATGGATCAGATATTTAATGCAGTAATAAATGTGTTCAAAAAAGGAAACCATGCTTTCATAAACATTTCTATTATCTTGCCTTAATAAAATCAAGAGGGATTATTTTAGATATAAATTTATTGTTTTAAACAGTCTTTAGCATACTTATGTCCAATAGTCAAGACAGTACGAGGTTATAATTGTAAATTCACAAATAAATACACATAGATTCCATTTTAAGGTTTACCAACAAAATACCAAACACAGCAAGGCATACCATGCTGGCTTTGAGTTGGTCATCTTTATGTCATTTTTAGGTCAACCCAAAGCCACAATCCACATAAATATGCAATATATATATATATATATATATATCAAACATTTCACATCAAGAATATATATGTATGTGCATATATATACATATGATATGAAGAAGGAAAAGGAAAACACAAACCAGGACTAGTGCAATCTTTGTAGATGGACTCGACCATGGCAGTGACCTCATCTTCTCTGATGGGTCTGAGAGATTCAAGCCTCTTTGGAGAGAAAAGCTCAAGTGTACAAACTTTTCTAACCTTGACATAATGAGGCCCATAGTCAGCCCATATCAGGTCCTGCCCTTCTCTGCTAAACTTAGCTGCGGATCGACTCCGGTGTCTGTCCGCCAAGTGTTGGTCATTTTGTTTGAGGACTTCTTTGGCTAACTCCGAGTTGGAGACAATAACATTTAGTGTCGACCCGAACCAGACCGATATGATGGGGCCGTAGGACTGTGACCACTCCTCGTAACACCGGAATCTCACCGGTTTGACGTCGTAGAGGTTCCCGACGACCGGCCATGCACGAGGGCCCGGCGGAAGCTTGAACCGAAGCCTTTGGTATAGCTTGTATGAGAGAATTATGATGAAGATGGACGTGAAAAGAAGAGAGAGATCCATGAGATGGAGAGAGAGAGAGAGAGAGAGAGAGAGAGAGAGTGCGGTTGGTGGTAGGGAGAGAGGTGGTGGGAAAAATATAAGATATAGAAAAGGGGGGGGGGGGGGGGGGGGGGGTTGGGGGAGTTGGTGAGGGGTATTTTAGTCCAAGGACTAACTTTGGGGAATCTAAGTTTGGTGAAGGTCATTTATGGAAAAACAAAAAACAAACAAAGAAGTAAGGTGAAAAGTGGGAGCGTAAATTTTGGAGAATCAAACATAACTAAAGGGTGGTTGGAATGAAAGAGAAATCACTTTTTAAAATTATTTTATCAAAATCAACACATTTAGAAAAATGGTTTTGTGGGTCCAAATGTACTATTAATTACCTAATTGATTTATAGTAATACCTGTCTGATGTAGGACCCAAATCTGGCCTACTCATCTGATCCAAATTTTTAAAGAAAGACGCTTACGGTAAATTCTGTGATTTATCCAATTACTTAAATACAAATAATTCGTTTATTATTAAATAAAAGAAAATTTCCAATGATGTTCAAAGCGAGGACATGAGAATCCCACCACGTTATGTTATGGTAATATCATAACATAGTGGGGCTATACACCCCACTTCAAATTGACATCTTCAAATTAAAAAGATATAAACTTGTTTGATTTATAATTCTGAAAATAATTATCAAGAATTTAGAGAATAATTTTTTTTTTATATTATCAGATAAAAATCTTTTAAAATTTCTCTTAAAATAGACATTTTTATAACTGAATTTTCAGAAAATAGTTTTTCAAAAACTGAACAAAACAAAGATTTTTGTATTATTTTCTGTTTTCAATTTTCTCATAACAGTAAACTGTCTTTATAGTTATAAACCAAGCAGGCCCATCAATCATTTTTCAAGAATAATAAATCAAGTAAGAAGTTGCAAATGGATGAGATAAAATAAGAAAATGGAAATGCAAAAGAATTTTTTTTGTTTGGTTTGTAATTTTAGAAACAGTTTTCTGTTTTCATATAACTGAAAATAGAAAACTACACTAAAACTCTTGTTGATTCAATTTTTTAAAAATTTAGTTATAAAAATGTTTGTTTTTAAAGAATCATAATTTTTTTTTCTGTGACGAGTTTTTGAGAACTACTTTTAGAATTACAAATCAAATACTAATGTTACGTTTGGTGTACAGGAATAGAATGGAATGGAATGCCCATTCCAACCATTTCTGTGTTTGGTATGCATGAATGAAATTGAATGGCCATTCCATTAGAATGAAAATGCATTCCTGGGATTGAAAATCCATTCCATAACTAAACTTATGGAATGACCATTTCATTCCCACGTAATTTTTTTTTTAAAAAATCAACTTCCTAAAAACCCTCATGTTTCAAGTTCAAAACCACCATTACCTTCCACCATTACCATCGTCTTCCACTACCACCACCACTACCACCGTCTTCTACTACCACCGCCACCACCACCGCCTTTCACCACCGCTATTACCACCTTTTTCCACAACCACCACCGCCAGCTTTCACCACCACTACTGCCACCACCTTTCACCACCTTCCATTACCACCGCCGCCATCGCCTTTCACCACCGCCACCGTCTTTCACCGCCACCACCACCACCACCGCCTTCCACCACCACCACCGTCATTGCCTTCTACCACCTTCCATCACCACCACTGTCACCACTGCCTTCCACCACAGCCACTGCTTTTCACCACCACCATCGTCACCACCTTCCACCACCACCACCATAGTCATATCACTATCTTCTTCCACCACAACCACCACATTACTGCCACTGCCTTCCACTAACAGCACTGCCACCTTCCACCACCACCGCCACCTTCTAACACCACCACCTATATCACTACTGCTTTCCACCATCTACTACTGTCACCATTGATTTTTAAAAATTATTAGAAAATGTCATTTTATTAATTTGATTTACTTGTTACTAAGAGGGATATTTTGGAGAATTCAATTAGAAATTTATTCTATTCTATATTTTAAATTGGTCAAACTAAATAATAGAATGGTTATTATCATTCATTTCATATTTATAACTAAACAATAGAATGAGAATGACCATTCCATTCTATTCACATTCTCATTCCATTCCCACTTGCATTCCATTCCATTCCTGCACACCAAACGTAACATAATTTCTCACATTCTCTTTTGAAAGGAGGGTTATAACGATGACGCTAAGGTGAATAACCCTAATGAGTTGCAAGATTTTCTCAAAAACGGAAGAAAAAAAATTCAAGGAATCAAAAGTGTCACACGCTACTTTAAGTTTAATTAATTTTTAGGTAATGGATATGGGTACGCATGAGTGGGCGGCACAACCACTTTGGGTGGCAATAAAATTGGTGTTTCTACAAGACTTGACTCGTTCTTTCTTGTCAACTTGTCATCACCGTTCATTTTGAGCGGACAAGTCACGAGCACATTATTAATGCTTCGGTAACAATATTAGAAAACAGGACTTCACGTTCATATCTTGTATAGATATTGTAATCTAAGTACATGGCAATGTTCGTCTTGACTTGGTCTGTAGCCTCATAATTCACTTGTAATTATGATGTCCTCAAATTTGAATATAAGGACATTAAGTTTACATTTAAATGTGATGTAAAACAGATTGTTTGAATGTACATATGACAATCAGAATGTTAAATCGTGGGATTGACATGTTTTTAAGTGCAGCTTGGATAACATCTTTTTGAATTAAGAAACCTAATCATAATAATAATAATAATAAAAAAAAAGGTCCAACAATCAAGACAAAAGAGCTAGCCGCCTTTGCTCGTGAAAGTTGTCATTTTCCCAATTGAATTCCATCATTCAGAGCTTGCTCCATTTTGTGTTTTTCAAACTGTTTAGCTTGTAATAATTGTGGTCCTTTTCAAGCATGGAAAGAAGCTGATTTGCGGGCGTGTCAGGAATTGCTATCGTTTTAAAGAGAAGCTCTAAATAATATTTCAGTTGGAGTTTAGGATCAAGCGATTATATGAATGACTCGAATGACCACCTTCAAAGGTTCTTTTTGCCTTGAAAAAAAACTTTGAAATTGTTCTATAACTAGTGGAAAGAAAGACAATATTGAAAGTGAAGGACTTACAATTAAAAGAGTTATGAACTACTTGTTGAAAAGTAAGAAAAGAAAGTACTGGACTTAAATTAGACATAATTGAAATACATTACTAGAATGTAAAAATACATGAAATGAAATTGATAAACAAAGATGTTGTATTGTTGTGTGTGTTGAATATGATTTGTATTCTAGGCCTAAGTGCTCTATTTATAGAGCCTTCTTGTAGCAGTTGGAAATGTGGCAGTTTCAGTAGCTTCCACTTGGCTAGTCTTCAGACTACCAAGTGTCCTATGAGCTTCCAGCCTTCTCTCAATGTTGACATGTGTAAAATCACGTTCCTCCATGATCAACTTATAAATAGTTGTCTTGACAGTTATATGCATGTTTGCAGGCCTTTTCCTACGTTCTGGAATTGCTATAGATGGAAAGGCGATGGTTTCCAGCAATAGTTGAGAGATATTGGATTAGGCAGTGGTAAAAGACATCATGAATTATGACATATTAATGTGCATGCTGTCCAGAAGGAAGGAAGATCGAATTGCTAGTTGTTTTAGCAAATTAAATGAACTGATATAAAAGGTATTTTTAGGACTTTATATCAATGATATATATCACATATTTAAGTCCCAGGAGTGTTGGTTGGGTTGCGGTTATGGACGTCATGTAATTTTAGATGTTTATACATGCTGTCAGGAGTTGAGGAGGTTTTACTTGCTGATTTTGTTTTAACTAGTTTAAATGGATTAGTATAAAATACCATTGGGGTTTTATATAATGTGCAGTTTAGACTTCTGAGTGTCATTATATTATACACAGGTTTTAAGATGGAGGATTAAATAGACGTCATGTGATGTAAATATTAATTTGTATGCCGTCAAGGATTGATGATGATTTAATTACTAGTCTTTGTTTAATAATTTAAATGAACTAGTATGAAAGTATCGTTTGAAAATTTTAGTATAATTGTGATACCCCTCGGATACGAGACATGGGTTTATCAGGTCCAGGTCCAAACCCGAGGGAATATCAAACAATTAATATTTAACAAACACAGAATACAAATCGAAATAATAAGGAATAAATAAATAATAAATGGCTGAAAGAATTCTAATTGAAAATGCTCAAAATATAATTATTAAAATCCAATACTCCAAAGTAACTCCATAAAGTTAACAACTCGGGAATCCCTCAAATGGACCCATAATAATAAAATCCTAAACTGGAAAGAAATTAACTGTAATCCAAATCCAAAGTTAAATAAGAAAGTAGTCCTATGTAGGCGGTGGAATGGAAGTCTGTATCTGCTCTGCACGACCAAGCTCTAACCCTGGAACTGACGAGTACCTGAAAAATAAGAGAGTGGGTCAGGACCCACATGCAAGTCCCACTCTACTACGATCCATACATAAACCCGATACGCAGATACATCCTAGATAGGCTAAACAATATCTAGAATAGTCCATATATGTATAAGTACACACTATAGGACGCTCACTAGTCCAATAGGTCTGTCTCAGCCTAAGTAGAGATATCATGCAAATCACACATAATGTGGTCATGTGTACCTAGACCTACCAGGGAACAACACCTCTATCCAGTTATCCATCCTAGGCGATATACGCACCTTAACCATGGTCCTGAGACTCAAGCTCATACCATGGTACCATAACATAGATATATAAAGTCCGTTCCAGGTGTGTCATTTAAAAGGTTTATTGACCTGACACATAGTTATAAATAGAACTTAACTTTTGTAGTTAATCCATCTTATTTCAATATAGGTAGGACTTAGTATTAGAACTAATCCATCCTTAAAATAGGTAGGTCTTAGTGTTCTGAACTAAGCCATTCCTAGTATGCCATCGTCCCATACCGGTGCATACAATCCTCCACATAACATAATTGTTATTTATCAACCACTATCCAGGATACACGTCATACAGTTTACTAC